CACACACACACACACACACACACACACACACACACACACACACACACAAGGCCAATTTAAAAACTCTAGTCATGACAACCTGCATGTGTTTTGACAGTTGGGGGAATTTGAAGGACCATGGAGAAATCCCACACATGCATGAGGACAACATGCAAACTCTGCAGAACAAAACTGCAGCAAGAAGGTTGTTGGTTCAAAAGTCAGCTGAAGTCTTTCTGCACAAACAGTCTTTTGCCATTCACAACAAATGAAGAAACTCTTTGTGGGATCTGAGAGGAGAATCAAGACTGCAGCAGGAAATAGAAGAAACTATTGCAGAAGTGGTTAAAGCAAGATTGAAAGCAGTTTTGCAGATTTTCACTTCTATTATTGCAGCTCAATTATTTCTGGACAAAGGAAGCCAAAGTGGCTGTCAGCTTTTCTAAAGGTTTGTTCTGTTAATTGGGGAGTGGACAGAAGGATAAAAAAGGATAAATTATGCAGGATAAAGAAGCAGCTAACAAGATTTTTCTTTTTTTGTTTTTTTTTCCTTTCCTTGCATCAGATATGCTGTCTGACTTCAGCTGTTTTCAGACTAGTTTGTCTTTCAAACAACTTGAGGACACAGCCAGTATGGTCATACTTCATTCTTGGTTGAAGCAAATAAAAGTTAATGGTGGGAAATAAGTATTACTGACCAACCACAGCACCACACCTGTTCGTGTGCTTGCCATACACTGCCTCAACCAACCTACACCTGTAATAAAACTCACCTGGACTCCTTCCTCTCCACCTTGGAACACCTTAAACCTGTAAGGTAAGTTTTCTCTTACATTACCTGGACAACTTACTGATCATCTCCCTCCTGTGCAGATCCTGTAAATATTGTAAAAATACATGAAGTTACCTTTAGAGTCCTTGTCTGTTTCTCTGAGCCGCTCCATCTTAACAGTCCTTTTATTTATGGTGCATCTAGTTTTGTATGATTTTTTTAGAATGAGATTGTTGTTAAAGTCTGTGACAATTATGTCCCATTTACTTGTTTTAGCTAAAATGGTCCACTACTGAAAAATTATCTAAAAAGTAATCAAAGTTTCTTGTGCTGAAAAAAAACCAAAGTAAAACATTTTAATACTCAAAGAGTTTATAAAAATATTTTTAAAAATGCATTTAGTTTTGTGTGACTTATATAAGATAATGTACTGATAAATAATACATCCCAGTCTGTAAAAGTTCCTACACTGTGTAAGTACCAGGTTAGTAAGTACCTGTATTATCTATTCCTACTAATTATTTCATAATTTATTAGGAGTTATATTCTGCTGGGGTCCGTGCATGAATCACATAATCTTTATGTGTCCGCTCCAACTAGACTCATATTGTGGCTTGTCTATTTTTAATCAAAAATTAGTGTCAAAATCAATTTCACACCAGTTTTTACCCCCGGCTTGTCAAAAAGATATACAATAATAATTGCAGCATACACAATAGTGAGTAACTTATTCAAAACTTAAACTAGTATTACTGTGGCGAGGTATAGTGGCTGGTGTAGCTCACTGAGACTGGAACTAGAGACCGGACTGGAAGCTGAAAGCTGAAGCCAAAAAGTTGAAGCCCTCTGGTTGCAGTCGTGTTTTAGGTCCCCCTCCTGAATGAATGAACGAGGCATTTTTCTAACTAATAAAATAAATAAAAAAACACACTTCTGATAGTTTTTTCAGGTGTTGATATTTATTTATTGTTTTACATTTAAAAGGGTCACATGTTAGTATGGTTGGCAGAATCACAGCCTCTGTG